AATAATTTGTCTATAACAGGATTATTTAAACAATTTATTGCAAAAATGATTTTCGGCAGGAAATAATGGCGCCATCTTATTCAACAGAGGAAATCACATATTAATAATGTTCCATACAGACCAAAGATTGCAAGTGTCATAAAAACGCAAGAAAAAAACAATCAATGAACAGTTCTATCCCGGCTCTGTCCATGCCTAAGCAAACTACAATGGCTCAAAACCGACTACTGAATCTGATCAAGAGTAATGATTATTGGTGAGGAAAAATTGTGAACAATTTCTTCTAATATAATTGCTTAAACAATTTATTGTAAAATTGATTTTCGGGTGAACATGATGGCGCCTTAGTTCTTGCAAGTTTAATCTTTGTGTTAGCACACAGGATAAATCTGATAGAAACGCGATTATTAAATATTATTGTACTTGCAAGAGCGGTTCACGTACTGTCGGATGTTGCAGCCATATAATGACAATTATATGGTATATGGTATATCGGCTATGGACAATACAATGGGATCAATATACCCAACCCTGATGCAATGTGTCAATAACCATTCCTAAAAAGCGAAATTAAAGGGACATATCAAAACGTATGCATGGTTCAAGCACCATCTGAAGTAGGTCAGAACAGTTGATAAGGACGTTGATGCATAATGCGAACTTTGACTCATCATATCTTGGAGATAAAGAGTGGGCGCAATCTGAAACTTTCAGAGGATTAATGTTTTATGTTATATATAACTATCGTTTAGCACCAAATTCAAGTCGGATTTCAAGGGTGGCAAAACAGGCGATTTTTGGCCTTACTCTTTCCTATTAGCGCTGTTATTTTGAAAAGAGATATTAATTTTAATGTTTCGGATAAATGAAGGAATCACGTCGCATCTTCTACAGTGGAGTAAAAAAGTTAATTGTTGTTGAGATGTGCATATTTTCTTCTCAAATTGATCCATGATTTCATTAGGAATGTGTTGTTAGTACCATAATGCTTCAATATTGTTTGAAAAAAACATACTAGCTCCATTATTACGTACTAGCTCCATAATTAGGTCCAAAAGCAAATAAATAATTCAAATTTGATGAAGTCGCTAGAAGATAAAATCAAAACACAAAGGTTTATTTTAAAATCCGACCACACTGACAATGCTTTATTCAATTAATCTTTAATAAGACGTTTCGACCATGGGTTTTGATCCTTATCAAGTGCCCTACATAAACGCAATATTGACAATAACTAGCACAATCAATTAAAAAACTTTACAGATTAATAAATTAATACAATATAACGGATCACCTTTCCCGACGCCACGGATCGGCTTGTCGGTGCCAGGATTCGGGAAGAGGGGAGACTCAGATTTGCAAGAACCACGCGGTTATTCTGGTATAAACAGAATTTATTCGAGTCACCTTTCAGTGGTTGACTCGTTATTTAGTCCACGGGTACAGAAAATATTAAGACGGACGAAACGCGACCAGATTATATGAACGCGGACACGACTTGTAGCTAGAATTTACAGACAGGAGTACTACGGACGAAACGCGACCAGATTATACGGACGCGGACACAACTTATAGCTAGAATTTGCAAGAAAAGGTACGACGGACGAAATATATCCAACGTGGACGCGGATACGGGCGCCCTAAAAAGGGCGAGCTCCGTAGAGCGCCGATGATTCGCGAACAGGACCCGGTGACCGAGAACACTCGGCCTACGCGACGAGAACGCTCGTCGGCCGGGACGGCTTACGGACGGGACCCGGTGACCGAGAACACTCGGCCTACGGGACGAGAACGCTCGTCGGCCGGGATGACTTACGGAGAGGACCCGGTGACCGAGAACGCTCGGCCTACGCGACGAGAACGCTCGTCGGCCGGGATAGTTTACGAACAGGACCCGATGACCGAGAACGCTCGGCCTACGCGACGAGAACGCTTGTCGGCCGGGATAGTTAGGAGCTTAGGATTTGAAGAGTGATCTCTGAGAACGCTCGAGAAACCGGGACGGGACTGGTCGAGAAGCCTCGGCTGAGCCGCTTTTTATAGCCGCCAGACTCTCTCCAAGCTAGTCTTGGAGTGGGGCGGCTGGTCGGGTGGGGCGAAAAGGCGAGTTTCCATCGCGTTTATTATATGGTGGCCCCGAAAGGGGCCGTTTGTATGAGCGCGAGCTGTGGGTCGGTCCTGAGCATGCGCGGCGCTTAGTGACGACCAATCGAGTCGTCACAACAATATAAACAATAGTTAATGCAATCAATTAAGTTTTTCAGAAAACAATAATTTATCGCTTCTAAAAATTACAAAAATTATTAACATTTTACTAAATTTACGGAAATCAATAATTTATCGATTCTAAATATACAAAATTATTAACTATTTATCTAAATTCCATTAATTGTCAAAAAACGGTCAATACTTTGTAAAACAAGATTTGTTTGATATGAAAATATAAAAATTATAAATTCTAGAACAGTCGATTGTCGCGTCGATAATAAAAAGTCACAGTTTTTTTATATGTTTGTCAAAGAAAAAACCCGTCATATATTAAAGCCGTCACCAAAAAAACTATTATTCACAACAAACAAGTAACGGGATTGCAACCGTTCCGCCGAATATCTATACCATAATAAGCATGCGCAGCTTATCACGTGTGTCCCTAATCACCAATAATTAACGCACGCTCGCGCATGTCAAACCCGCGTCATTTTGCTAATCTCGATTAAGCAGCCAATTATGAACCATGCTCTCAGATCACCTCGAGCACAATTAAAATCGCTCATAATCATTGGCGCTTCACAAGAGAATGGGCTCCTTCGACAATTCCATAAATGGAGTTCACGCCCGAACGTTGGGGCCTTATCGCTTTTTCCATTGTGAACCGCATATCGCTTATCCGCTAACTGTAAAATCGCAAAACTCGTTGACGACCGCTGCTTATTTCTTTTGATTTGATTACGTATTTCTGAAATTAAGTAAAGTCTGTGTTAATTTTTGTGCGTGTATATATTTTGTCAATCAATGTGAATTATATAATTAAACTCCTTTTTCACATATAAAAGATGACTATACTTATTTAGCGTGACCTCCTTTCGCAACACGCGCTCCCGAACAAAGATAAACCGACAAAACTTTTCTATTAAATACATCATCATTTCACATAAGAGGTTGAGAACAGAATAAGCGACCTTTATTATTTTAATAATATAAGTATGCTGTCTTCTAAGCTGGGCAATAGAGCCAAGGAAACGAAACGAAAAATTAATTAAACGGAACTGTATCTCAATTTGAGATCCCAAAGTTCCACATATAAATTAATTTCGAAACTTACATATGGAGAAATAAGCGAGAAAAATATAGGTCCGAAAAGTCGCTGAAGCGGGAATCGAACCCGCGTCTTTCACTTTCCGGGCGACTGCTCTTACCAGGTAAGAGCAGTGCCCGGAAAGTGAAAGACGCGGGTTCGATTCCCGCTTCAGCGACTTTTCGGACCTATATTTTTCTCGCTTATTTCTCCATATGTAAGTTTCGAAATTAATTTATATGTGGAACTTTGGGATCTCAAATTGAGATACAGTTCCGTTTAATTAATTTTTCGTTTCGTTTCCTTGGCTCTATTGCCCAGCTTAGAAGACAGCATACTTATATTATTTATATTGAGAGCCGATAAAAATATTTATTTCTGACTTTATTATTTTGTCATAATAAAATATTAATTAAATAAATGAAATTAAAATTTAATTTAATATTATGTTTAGCTGATTTTCCACTTACAATATTATCCCGTTGAATCTCTGAAAAAGAAAATATTAAATATTAATAATTGTGTCAATACTTTTCAATTTTTTTTGTACTTTTAAGATATTATTTTTAATTGTTTTTTAAAATAATTTGCATGTTATATATAATAAAAAAAACGAGTCGTGCACGACAAATCGCAAGCAAACGAAAGCACACGTATATGGTTCTGACATCAACACAAGCGCACACACTCATACACACACTAAGCATGACCGGCAATTAAACGAAAGGTTCTTTTTCGCTTTCTCTCTCTCTCTCTCTCTCTCTCTCTCGCTCTCGCTCTGCATGATCAGTTTCAAACAAGTTCGCGTTTGGCGGCGTCCAGCGATATCTTCAATATCACTGTTGCCAATTCAAACATATACACGATTGACATACCGCCCGCCAATTACAGCAAAGGATTGAGCGGAGCGTCTCGGAAGAAGAGCTTTGTCCTCACTTCTTTTTAGTCAATCTTATGAAACAGACGTGTCAGAGAGATATACGAAATAAGAACAATTTCATATGATTCACCTTAACTCAGACTATCATTCCCTAAGCGTTGTTAAGGTGACTATTCGAGACTCAGAGAATACACCCCTACACGGTAAAAAACATTTTGTATTTCTGTTGAAATTATCTCGTGTAGAAATTTTTGTGTTAAATTTTTAACATACTCTTATGTTAATGTAACATATTGTCGTTGTGTTATTTTGACATTTCTGTGTTGAGTTAATATTTACTGTTTTTAAGTGTTAAAACAACACAATTAAATAAAAATGTACGAATTCTTGATGATATATTTTATATGTTAAATTAACATACTTATAAAGTTAAATTTAATTAAAATAAAATGTAATTTTTACATTTTTTGAAATAGTTGTTTAAAGGTTTTAATGAAATTCAAATGTTAAATTTACATTACCGGTCTGTTAAGAATTCTATATTTTAACATTAAAAAAATGTTAACGTAACATTTTTAAATGTTTGTTGTAACTTATAAACAGATAACTTATGTTACTTTTCTCTTTATTACAGTTTTTATCTGTTTAATCGACATATCTTTTATGTTATTTATCATAAAGAGATATCGTCTTTTGTTTTCTGGCGGTTACTGAGTGCGACAAGTTGCTGCGCGACTGCGTGACGGCTAAAGCTATCTCGCAGTCTCTTGATATACGTGCTGAAGCATGTGCTATTGTGTGGCCACTGCGTGCTTTGCGTATGAGTATCGCAAATAAGTGAGTGATCCTTTCAGTGATATATAAGATAAGTGAAACTAACACTAAGGTGCACATATGTGGTAAGAAAATTATTATTTCAAATAATATAATAATGATTATGTCTTGCAGGCATTGTGAATATATTAATGGAAATATGATATAATAAATGAGTTTGATACTTTTCCGTTAAATAGATTGATAAATAGATATATTGATCAATAGCAATCGGTTAGCATATCTTAACAGGCTTGCAATCTTATAAATAAATTGATTAATTATAATCTTTATAATCTAACAAGTCGATTTAACAAAAATTATAAACGTGAAATGTATGATAGCAAATGAGAACAGTGATTAGTCATTTACTTTCAGTTTTACTGTTTTTTATGTATCAAATGTTGTTTTAATGTTAATATATTAATAAATATCTGCATAATCTTCTCTATTCAATGTGTATAACTAACCGTAACTGTAGAGTTTTTATATTTCATATTAATATAGAATAAGTATGGGCCAAAATCGAAGAACCATGTACCTACGAACATTTTATTGAAAAAGGTCATTTTTTAACATATTTTCATTAATATATATTAAAGTTTTATCATTTTTATTTAATTGCAATGTACATTTCATTGTAATATATGTTTACAGCTGAAAACATTTTTCCATCATTAAAGAATACAGAGTTTATCTTTACGGATGAAAATGATGCTAAACTTCAACCAGACATTTTATCAGAATTTGTTAGAATAAATCCACGAGGCGTTATTATAAAAATTAAAACAACGACAAATATTGATATTTGTAAGTATGAATAGTATACATATTTTATTACATTTTCTAATTTCTTTTATATTTTGTTTATTCTTAAAGAACATTACAATTTTTTTTATATAGCATTGTCGCATATCCCTAAAGAAGTAAATCAACCATCTACAAGTTCAGATGTAGATACATGTTCTATTAGAAGTTCCGTTCTATTAGAGTTCTCAAATAGTGAGTATGAAGAAAATGCATCGTCTTCCAAAAAATATAAATTAGATGCTACCGTTTCTGAAAGTAATGAAGTTATATCAAAAGAGGTATGTTAAATTTTCCTTTTTTTATAAATTATAAAATAGAAAATTAAAAATAAAAAGTTTGTTGTATTTCTGTTCTTTTAGAAGTTGCATGAAATAATAAAAATTTTGCGTGCGAACAAGAAATACTTGACAATTAAAAAAAATAAATATTTATCAGAAAAGTACAGAAAGCTTTTAATAAAAATTGTTGTGCAAAGTTTATTAGAATATAAAAAAAAGTAAATAGACAAATCTATTCTTGGGAAAAGTGTAATTATGCACAAGCAATTATTGAACTCTTCCCAAATTTAAAAAACTGTGAAGGTGATCTTGGCTATGTAAGTTTTTATATTTCAACTGTCATAACATCAATTTTATTATATATATATATATATATATATATATATAAAACAAGATTGCATTTATATATTTTACCAAATTTATATAATTTATAAATTAATATTTGTAGAAAGCAATTTTTAGTTTTTGTAAACTGTTTAACATGAGAGTACTATTAAAAACATATACAAATAATATTGTATTTTATTTATTTATATATTATTTATTTATTTATATATTATATATTTATTTATATATATCTGTATACATATCAAAGAGAATATTTTATACTTTTGCATTATGCATAATTGTTTATTAATATAATTTTATAGGAACACTTTTATAATCCTAAAACTGAGACTGGATATATTGCTTCACGTTTATCAAATGTACAACGAAAGGGAAGCATCTCAAAAGTAATTGTGGATAACAAACAAAAAGAAAATATTGATAATAATATAACAACTGAGTCTGTTGATGAATCGGACATCATTAAAGATTCAATCAATTTTATGAAACATGCAACATTAGAACAGAAAGACCAAATTATAGAGAAAACTAAAGAAGCTTTTAAAGTTCGTCGATATTTATATTTAAATGTGAATTTTTTTAACGTATTTCCAAGATTTTTGGATATGCCTGAACTGGTAAGCACCATTACTTAATTGTAAAAATATAATAAAAGTTATCTTGCACCTTTTTAACTCAAAAGCTCAATTTTACAATGTTATGGTTAATTACTCATTTTTCTTAGTTTATTTTATATATACATATATATTTTATATTATAACTATATTCTTGCCAAACTGAAGTGTATATAAAACTTGTTTGATTTACAAATATTATATAGAAATTTTTCTGCGTATTCCTTTTATTTTTAAAACTAGATTTTTAATAAATTTTTTTATTTAGATTGATGTAGAATTTAATCTACTTTTTCCTGAAATTGATCCAGATAGATTTTGTAAGATATATCCACAATATATCGATGCTATTTTGTCAGTTTTTGAAACTAAAAAAAATAAAATTCCTCTTGGTACGTTAATTTTTTATATGGAAATTACATATTAATATTATTAATATTGATTTTAACGTGTTTTAATATTTTATTTTTAAGAATGGAATCTTATTACTAACTCATTTATTGCCTTGGCACTATTATTACCACCAACAGCAAAAGGAAAAAAATTAGCTACAAGAGATAAAACAAATAATATAATTAGAAAATTGATTGTTTTTGTACAGGTAAAAGATTAGAATTATTTTTTTTACAATTATTAATTTTATTTACAATAATCGCAATATAACATTAATTGTTTTACTTTTCAGAATGGGACACCCTTGCGTTCAAATGAAAACGTAAATCAACCAAGAATCATTGTTGTTGGTCCTAATAAAATAGCACCTGAACAATATTTTCTTGAAATGGACAGGAAATTTATTTTATTACCAACGAACGATATTATTAAATCAATTGATTACCTTTTCAAGGCTCACTATGCTTTTCATGTAGAATTTGAGAACGATCTTAAAAATTTTTGGATTTTTCTGCAACACTATTTCTACACGATTCCAAATAAATGTACGAGTAAAGTGATTGAAGTACACACGAAACTTGAGGTAACAAAAACAAATTATCGTTAAATTAAAGGTACTATTCAAACAAATTAATTAAACATAATATAACATTTCTCATATTATTTAAGAGATTATAGATATAATATATAAGTATTAAAATATTGAACATTGATATTCATGCAAAAGTTAGTTCTTTTTATTTTTGTGAGTAAAAATGCAAATATTAAAAAGATATATATATAATTTTTGTTTATTTAAAAATAAGATTATAATATAATTATATTTATTATAAATTTCATTTTTCCTTTGTACGCTTTTTCAACGTAATTATTATTAAAAATGTCTCTTCAGTGTTACTTATGTGAATATAAAACATTACAAATCAAAGATATATGTCGTCACTTACGTAATGTACATATGCTGTTTGAGAGCTCTAATCTTATTTTAAAATGTTGTACGAGTTGTACAAATTGCCCTGCCGTTTTTAGAACATATTGTGGCTTTACAAAACATTTGAAAAATGTATTCTCCAAAAAGAAAATATACTTTCCAAAAGTAACGCTTATGAAAAATCAAATGCTGAAAATATTGAGATTTTTGAAGAAGTTGATATTAATGATAATTGTGATTTGATTGAAAATGAAACTGTAACATCAAATAAGTCAGAGACTGAGAAAAAGCAACTAATGCAGGAAAATATATCTAATTACGTAACACACTTATATTCTTTAGGTTTACCTGATCTTATTATAACAAGTATTTTAGAATCAACATCAAATGTAATTTTTCCACTCATTGACGATATTATATCACTTTCACATTTAGATGAACGTCAAAATCTTGCTCACGACTTTAGATATGCATTTGACAATCACATGACTGTATATAAACGAAATAAAAATTTGCCAAAAATTTTGTACAGCCTATCCAGAAAGCTCATGGTGTTGGAATAAAAAAAAATACGACAGTAGAGCACAATGCTATAGACAAGTTCCAATTACACGTACTTTTACATATATACCTATATTAGAAACTCTTCAATTTATATTAAATAATGAAGCTGCTCAACAATTCTTTACGAATAATATTTTTGAAAATAATAATGCTTACACTAATTTCATTGATGGTACAGTTTATAAAACTAATCCTTTTTTCCAAATAAATAAGAACGCAATTCAGATTCAACTTTATTTTGATGAATTTGAGGTATGTAGTCCTTTAGGAAGCAAAGCTGGAATTCATAAAATCGGAGCGTTTTATTTTACAATTAATAATTTTCCTATTCATATTAATTCAATGTTGCAAAATATTTTTAGTAGCTTTAAGTTATAATGCTAATATTAAAAAATTTGGTATAAATCCTGTCTTAGAGGTCATTGTATATGACATAAAAATTCTAGAAAAGCAAGGAATATTTATTGAAGCTCTGAATACTTATGTGAAAGGTACATTAATATCTTTATCTTGCGATAATTTAGCTGGAACTATGTTGCTTGGCATGAATGAATCTTTCAATTCTCATCACTATTGTAACATTTGTACAATGCATAAAGAACATGCCCAAAAAACATGTGTTGAAGATTTAAATTTATTACGAACAACAGAAAGTTTTTGTCATTTATCATATCAACGAAACTATGCCAATAGCGATATATTTAATTTTTTTGGAATAAAACATAAAAGTGCTTTGTTAAATATAGCTTATTTTAAAGTTTCCGAAAATCTCAACATTGATGTAATGCATGATTTTTTTGGAGGGCATTTGCCACAGAGATCTAAAATTATTCATAGATTTTTGTAATAAATCTGGACTAATAACTTTAAATGATTTAAATGAAAAAGTACAAGCGTTTGATTATGGTTTTTGTAATAAAAAAAATCTTCCAAGCATTATACATTTTAGTAAAAATTCAAATTCAATTGGACAATGTGCAGCACAAACTCTTTGTTTAACAATATTTTTGCCTTTAATTCTAGAAGATATAGTTCCAAAACTGGGAGAAAATTTTAATAAATGGAAAATAATTTTATTACTCATAAAAATGTTAAAGATTGTTTTTATCACCAAAAATTACGCTTAATATGTTACATGATTTACAAATAACGATAAAAGAACATCACGAACTTGTAATAAAAGAATTTTCCGTTCTATTAACTCCAAAAGATCATATAATTACGCATTATCCTACTATAATAGAAAAATGGGTCCTCCAAGAGCTTACTGGACTATGCGATTTGAAGCTAAAAATGGTTATTTTAAAGATTTAGCTCATAAATTAAAAATTTTAAAGATATTGCGTTTACTTTATCGTTACGTCATCAAAAATATATCAACTATGAGTGGAAAAATAAGTGTAATTTTATTGAGGAACAGCCAATCCTTCAAAATTTTAAAAGGAACATTTGAAATCTACAGACTATGGAGCAATAATTGCAGAACATTTAAATATTACATTAAATACATTAATTTACATTGGAAAAACGTACAATTTAGAGGTACAAATTTAAAATTAAATAAATTTATTTGTACATCTTTTCTGAAAAGTTTCCGAATTTTGGTAAAACAAAATTATATTTTTCTTTAAATTCTATAATATATGTTTTATATGAAAGTTGGAATACTATTGACATATCTCCACTAAATTTGGGATACATCATAAAAAATAATTCTTCCTTCTTTATAATGAAACTGGTCAATTTTCCATTTACCAAAGCTTGGGAAATGTATAAAACATCAGAAAATGATACGGTTATTGTAACAGAGTATTTTTGTAATTTGTAATTTTTATATTATATACAATTGTAATCTGTTTCTTCAGATAAATAGAATGTGCAATTTTGTCAAATGTATCCGTAATATTTCTATATAATATTTCTATAATAAATGTAATATTTCTATAATAAATAAAATACTTTGTGGAAAAATATGTTATTTTATGTTATTGTATAACAATAAATAATATTATATATTTGTTCAAAATGCATAAGAAAACATTATCCGCATAATAAAATATTATATTTGAATAGAATACTTTAGAATATTCTAGACCAATCGATATTTTCAGCAAATCGTTTGTATATGTTTTTCGAGGAGAAAACACCGCGACATAAATCAATCTGTTTCGGAAAAACCTCTCAAAATATCAACAATTAACGGTATCACAACCGTTCCGCCGAATAATTATTTTTCAATGAGCATGCGCGGCTTATCACGGGCGCCTTGTTTCACCAATAATTATCGCGATCGCCCGCTTGCGCATGCTTTCTTCCAGCCGTCGTTCCGTTAATTTTGACAGCGGCCAATTACGCGTAATGCGCTCAGGTCACCTCGCGCAATGTTTGAAATCCGCAAAACTATTGGCGCTTCACGCGAAGGTGGGCTCCATTCTAAAAATTATAAAAGAGGAGCTCACACCCGGCTTACCAGCCTTATCGCTTTTCCGCCGTGAACCGCATAACGCAAACCGCATACTTGTTAAACTGCTAAAATTTCGTTGACGACCGCCGCTTATTCCACACTTTGATTTTGATTACGTTCTCTTCTGTGAAATAATTAACATTTGTCATAAGTTGTTAAAGTGTATTTTGTCATTAAGTGTTTGTTGTAATTAAACTCTTTAATACAAAAAGGTGACTCATCCTTTGTGTTGCGCGATCCTCTCTCTCGCAGCGCGTTCGTGAACATATTTCTGGTCCTTCGAGCCGGATCTATCGCACCGGCAACCGCAAGTTCGCGAGCGTGACTCTTCGTGTGAGTGAAGAAAGTGAGCATCTGTGTGTGCAACCATCATGGATGTACCCACGCTGGTCGACTGTCAGCGTGAGATTCAAATCCGCATCTCACGTTCCGTGGAGTATTTGAAGAAGCTGGGCAGCTCCAATATCACTACCAGTGCTATCGCCACAAGCACCAGAATTTTGGATCAGCTGTGGACGAAGTTCGAAACGCAGCACGATCTCATCCGAGCAGCCTTAAAAGAAAAGTTCAGCGAAAGCGATTATTTTAAGTCAGAATTGCACGCTGATACGGAGAATCTGTATGTCAATCAAAGAAGCATACTTGACAGCTACGCCGAACACTTTCGTGCAGCGAACGTACCTCCTTCTGCCGACGCCACGCCAAGGTCGTCACTGCCGCGCATCAAAGTACCGCCATTCTCTGGTGCCTACGCAGATTGGCCGTCGTTCAGAGATCTCTTCCTCTCCGTCGTGAGTGGCAATGCGATCTCCAACATCGAGCGCTTTCATCACCTCCGCTCATGCTTGACAGGGCCGGCTGAAAAATTAATCAAGTCGTTACCTGTCACCAGTGACAATTATGATCGCGCTTGGGCGATCCTGGACAAGCATTATAACAATAAAAAGGAATTGATCCGCTCCAACTTTGCCACGTTCATCGCCGTGCCAAAGATGAAGGGAGATACCGCAGAGGAGTTGAGACGCATTCACAACGCCGTTACTGCCGCCGTCAATGGTCAGGAGAGCATTGGACGTCCAATTAACACCCACGGAATGGACCTCTTCAACTTTCTAGTCACCGAATTGTTTGACGCACGCACGCATCTGAAATGGGAGTCGTCCACGTCAAACTCATCAGAGCT